CAAATGGAGCAAATGTCGGGCTCTCGCAATGGTACAGGGCGTAGCCAGGAATTTTTTTTTTCTTTTTTTTTTTTGCCGGGCGTGAAGAATAACGCCATGGCAATAAGTCATTTTTTTTTACTGTGAGCCTTTTAGAGTAGTTTTGTTTGTCATGTTTCCTTAAAAATCCGAGTCTGTACTTTTTTTTTCTGTTCCTGTTTTATTACAATACGGCGGTTGATATGTTTATCTTAACTTTTAAGCATTAAGAAATCGACTAAAAACGTACAGCACGGTCTGGTAGAACTGAAGAACGCAGCGTTAAATACAATGAATATTGTTGTTAGAATTGTGTACCACTTGCTCCTTACATATTGTGGGATATCCCAGGTAACACGGGTAATTAGTGCTGAGGGGAGACTGACTTGCGATTGTATCTCGCACATGACCACATCAGAAGATTGCTTGCATTTGCTTCATGCATGAAGCAAATGACTAGTGCTTTGCGAACTGGCCATGGCCAGTTCGCAAAGCACTAGTCATCATGATCTAGTAATTAAGCTCCTTCAAGCGCAAGATGGTAATTCAGTGAAGTGTCATTATTACGGACACCGACCGTTTCCCCAAGGTTGTTTATAATGTGAGCTGTTTTTAATAACCGGACAAAATGCATGCATTTAACCAGTTCGCCCCAGAATTTTAGAGCGCAGCTCCTAGGCGCCCGTTTCCGGCTTGAACGGCGTCGGCGTCGCCGTCGCCGTCGGCGCGGCGCGCGGTGCATTTTGAGTAAATTTTCCCGCTAAATTTAGCGGAAAAATTTCCCCGCTAAATCTAACGGAAAAAGTTCCGCGCTAAATCTAGCGGAAAAAAATTCCCTGCTAAATCTAGCGGAAAAATTTCCCCGCAAAATCTAGCGTATACCCCGCCTAATCTAGCGGAAAAATTTCCCCGCTAGATTTAGAGGATAAATTTCCCCGCTAGATTTAGAGGAAAAATTTCCCCGCTAGATTTAGAGGAAAAATTTTCCCGCTAAATCTAACGAAAAAATTTCTCTGGGGGGACACGTGACCTGGGGTTCACATGACCCCCCCACGAAGTCACGTGACACCCCCCCCCCCTGATATCACGTGCCCCCCTTCCCCCGAGATCACGTGACCCCCCCCCCCCCCCCCCGAGGTCAAATCAGCCCCCCTCAGTACCCTTCCCTACTCCTCCTCAAGCTGCGCTCTAATTCGGCGTTACAGGGAGTTGTAAACGGCTTTCACTTTTTTTTTATCAATGTTAGGGCTGGGAGTCTATTAAAAACGTTCGACCTATTAATCGCCACCCCTCATTTGATAAATAGACTAATCGGTTTAGTTCAATATCATGCATAACAGTTTTTTTAAAGTTAAAATTAATTGTTTTGTTTTCCCTCGATAGGTGATAAGAGGAAAAATGTACACTTTCAAATCTTAAATAAACCCTTAAATGTAGTCGAGAACAGTCAAAAGACCCACACTCACAAATATTTACTTCAGGAGGAGAGGCTAAAAAGTTCGCTGATGTTTTCCGGCAATTCGCGACTTTCAGGACCTATAGGGAGTATTCACTGGCGGTTATAGCTGAGCTCGCTGCTGCTTTCTTACCACGGGGGAAGAGGGAGAGAGGGGAAAGATGCTTTTGTACGAATTTTGAGTAGGAAGTTAATCTTCTATAATCTTCTAGAGGAAGAATAGCGACGTCTAGGGAAGCCCGGGACATACAAAGGAAAGTCCCGGTGATAAGAACATTTTTCCTTCTCCTCTTTTCTTGAGGTTGCCCGAGACTTGACGGGAAACTGTTCCCGGGCATGCGCTGTGGGCAGTTAAGTCAAATATGGCGTCCAGTGAATACCACATATAGGGGGCGCGCTGGCACCTATCAAAATGGCTGTCATCTGGATGATGGTCGTAGAACAGCGGAACGAGGCTGGGTCTGCGTCGCGTAAATAATTCTGCTTTTGCGTTATACGAGCAGTATTAGAGCCTTACTTTATTTATTTCATGGCAGGCACGCTTTGGCAAGCACCTTAATTGGAAAGCCGATCATCCAAGAGCTAGGGAGCGTGATTTTCACACCGTGGTACCACCATCGCTGAAAGTTGCGAATAGCGAACTCCTTTGATTGTTCACAATAGTCTCCGCTGGGCTAAACAAACGTTCGCACAACGCTTAAGTGGCTCGGACACGTATAATATCTTCTCCACTTGTTCGGAGTTACAGATCTCGCCCTTACAGTACAGTTTCCTTTAGATGAAAATTTCACCTAAAGTTTGCTTTCATACAGGTGTACTCGTCCATGTCTGCGTGTTGAAAGCGTTGGATTTTTACTTTTCTTTGTCTTTCAAAATGCTACTGATCAACCGCTTAATAAATTAATCGAGATGAAAGCATTAATTGATTAATCCGTAGTTTCATCCATCAAAAACTCAGGCCTCATTATCATATAGTGGGCTATCTACTATATTAGCGGGGCCCATATTAACCAGATATAACTGTATCCATTTCACGTACGCTGGCCCTGTCAGCTCGAGTAAACCATCCCGAAATGCAATTAAGCAGAAATGACAAGTCAGCGATATAAAATAATTGTGGATAGCGAAATCGTAAACTGAACTACAAATTCAAGTTTTGAGTATATCGGAGCGCCTAGGATAATAATAATAATAATAAGAAGAAGAAGAAGAACACACAAATGTAGTTCCACATGAGAAAATGCTAGCGCTTTCGAATCCAGCGATCTTTTGTTCAGTCATCATCACTGCCAAGTTTGATGCAGGCGGGTACAGGTTGCCATACAGGCGAGCATCGTATTAGCGTCAGGCCGTGTAGTCTTAAAGACTCCGGATTAGCAATCGCATTGTGCCAATTCAATTGTCTTGCCACGGTGTTGAAACAGTGTCTCGATCCTCAAAGGCCAATTGTCAAATCGCTGCACAATTATGGACAACGTGCAATTCGTTTTTGTTTTACATCTCGACAAACTCCAACATCCAGGAGTTACACGGCTCACCAAACGAAACTGTTTCTGTCGTGCCCTCAGCAACACATAAATGTGTGTGTTCGTCTCTGCACTAGCTATACATACCTGCTTTAACTGTGTTAATGCAAGAACTGAATGTAGTTTATTAAAAGTTCTTACTAACTTCAGAGCTGTGTAAAAAGTACAATTTATCTATAAAAAAGATTAATGAAATAACACCAACCCTCAATTGAGTGAAAGCTCGAGGAAAGCACAGCTGTGACGGGTAGCCTGCTTTCAGTCTTTGGACAATATTTCAAGACTCTTTCGGGGCCGGCAGATAAATCCCATTTTCTGTCCAAAATAAAAGAAAAATTCCAAGTTCCACCTGGTTTGAAGCTTACGCTTGTGGCTCCATTCGTGTCCCAAAAGCCGGGGGTTGTTAGTTTGTGCAGTGACGAAAAAACAAAAAAACGATAAAGCAACACGACTTGACGCACAAGATTTGTCAGCCCCAAAGAAAAACATAGCGTGTTTCTAGTAGTTGCGTTCACAGCACTACACACGTACAAGAAAAAGAAAACGATTAACGAGGGCCTCAAAAAATCATAAAGTGTATCAAAATGAAGACTAAATAAAATGTTTGAATAAAATAAAACCTTTAAAAATAAAACCTTCAAAAGGGAATTGATGAAAATGAAAGTGAAATAGCATCTTTTTAAGGCTGACGGGCCAAACCGATTGTACCTAGGACGCCTCAGCGAAGGGCTCAGGACTAATTTACGCGGACTGGAGTTCTACACCGAAATCTCATTCGTTCGGGACCTAGACTGCAATAAGACTGTGTCAGATTGGGAGATCGTCTTCTGTGTTACCAATGAAAATTCTTCTTGTGAACGTTTCTCGTACATATGTTTGCTCTAAGTAAAAACAAATCAATAAAAAAGTTTATCGTATTTTTAGATTCCTAATATATTCCCGAAACTAATATTTCTAATTATATGTAAAGTACACGCCAAACAACATATTTTTTACAAACACAATTAGACGATTGTTTTTACAAAAGTTTTACTGTTTGATAAAAACAATGATAGTTTAATAAGATGTTATCTCAACTCCCTAGTAGAGAGTTTTAGGGAACAGTTTTTTTCATGTTTGATGCGGTACGATGGGCCCTCCGGTACGCAATGCGCATGTGCGAGTCTTCGGTGGTGGCGCATGCGCAGCTCGTACCGGAGGGCCCATTGTACCGTATCGGAAGTGCAAAAACCGTTCCCTAAAACTCTCCAATGTCTGCAGACGGTCCTTTCGTACGATGTATTAGCGGTGTACACGCTGGGCTACAGGAGGTCGAAAACACAGCGTGTTATACTCGGCGAGAATAGATGGGGCGTCGCTCAGCAGTTGGGGTGCTGGTGACAATGTGGAGAAAGCTGATGACGCAAAGATGCGGCCAATGTTAACTAGAAGGTATAAAATGCCCTATTTATTTATTTTATTATGTTAAAGGGTGTCTTAGCAGCTTTACCTGCCTTCTCACTATAGTGTGAAATTTCGTTATCGATTGTTGTCTTTCGTAGTAAATTGCAACGGTGATTGGGGGCTTTGGGCAACTCTAAGGAGAATATTAGGATTTTTTTTTTTGCGTTCCCTATTTTGAAAAGAAATAATCTGCCATAAATGGAAGGTGATATAAACATTTTGTAGGAGGAATAAATAAAACAATAAATAAGTTTAGACTTCAATTTGCGAGCGCACTAGCAAACCTAAGGGAGTTAGAGTAGAGACTATTTGTTACTAACTTCGTGACCACCGCCCCCGAATAAAACGCCCAGACAACGAAACGACAAAAAAAAAGTTAACCTGAAAAAACGGTAGAAGACATATTAGTCGAGATTACACTTTATTGGCATACAAGCGGTAAGAAAGCATTACACAGTCATTTAGAGAATTACACACGCCACGAACATTTTCTGATAGTGGGCGTCTGGCAACGAGAACGTCAACTAGCCTTCCTATATGAATAGGCTTTTTCTTCTTGCGTATTTTCGTTTTAATCAAGGACATAAATTTCCGGAATATGCAGCCAGCTTAAAATCGTCACTCCGGAAGGCGAGACAGGAAGCACAGTCTCTTTGCCAACAGATCCGTGTAATGGTCAGTGGCTACGCTGAAGCTGGTACCCTCCTCAGGAAGAACGCGGAATTTCTGTAGCAATGTAGTCACGCACAGGAAGACTTCTACAGTTGCCAGAAGCTCTCCGGGACACATCCGTTTTCCTGAAATAAAAGACGAGGAGAAAAAACATTAATCTCCAAGTATACTACAACGCCCTGTTTACAAACGAAACCGAGTTTGCCCACTCGTCGCGTGACCACTGCCCGCGCGCAGAAAATAGATACACGTGAAGAAAAGCGTCTGCGCCTGCGCCACAGAGACAGAAGCGCCGCCGCCGCCGCAGCGGCGTGACGTTGCAGCCGCTCATAGGTCTACCCGGAGCGCAAGTTCGTCTGATTCTTTCGCAGGCGTTGTGGAGACGTCAGAAGGCCGAGCGCTGATTGGCTCTGGTTGAAGGATAGTGGGTAGACCTCAAGGCGCAGCTTGCTTCGCTGTCTACGCACTATCCTTCAATCGGAGTCAATAGGGAGTTTTCGTAGACCGCGTTTTCTACTCCGCTAAGCCTTCCGCAACGAAGAAGCCACTACTGCGCCTGCGCGCCGATGGCCTTGACTGTAGAGTTCCGGGTATCGTAGCGGGTTCAGAGAGCGTTACGGGACGGCGAAAATGATCTACGAAAACTCCCTAATCAGAGCTCTCGGCGTTCTAACGTCACCGCAACCCTCGCAAAAAAGCAGACGAGCTAGCGCGCCGCATGAGAAATGCAAAATCAAAACTGTATGTTTACTCAATAGTGGTGTCACTAACACCAACTTAAAGGGCAACCCCGCTCAATTCCGAAGATTTCGGGATAATGAGTGATTTCGAATTAAAAAGCCCCAGTAAAAAGCACTACGTGGTTTGCTTCGCGAAAAATGGGATATATATTTTTTTATCTAATTTTAAACACGAGCGGAGATCGAAACCGAAACTTCGGCTCTGTCCGGCAACATTGGCCTCGGGCCGCCAAGTGCATGGCCATCACGTGGTACGAGATGTCACGTGATCCTCGGCCCAGCGACGGGCAGGATGGGGGCGGGCGTGCGGCAGGCGCGAGTGTCGTCTGCACTGCACTCTTCGCCACGTTTTGGTGTCTACGGCATTCGACGACGTCTGCACAACTGCGGCACAAGTCTGCGACTCTGCGCACGTGGTGTCCATAGTGTGGACGAAACTCCGAGAGGCAATAATCGCAAACCGTGAAACGACGACGGTGGTTGTGACGCGGAAGACGGCGGTAACGGCGGGACCACGGCGGGCGGTTGGTCTGCTCCCAAGAAGCGCGCTGCGCAGGCGCGTACGCCAATCACGTGGACACCGCTGAGCGCCGAGAGGAAACGTTGCTGACGTCATGCGCTACGCTCGATCGGAGAAGTAAAAACAAGCAAAAGGGGGGCCATGATGATGACGTTTAGCTCAATGTTGGCTCCGCCCATGCCGTAGCCTTGACTGCGCTGTTGGTTGCGCCTGAATTCGCCCGCTCGAGTCAGCCGATTTCGGCAACTTGGCGAGTTGCAAAGTTTGCCGGACCATTTAAGAAACATTTAGACAGAACTGCGCAGTAATATTTGGCGTGTGGTCTTTCTAGGCGATACTGAAGAGGACAGCATTGTTTTTTCAAAACCAAAAATGAAGCGGAGTAGCCCTTTAAATGTCAAAATTCTGCTCTTTCAAAAATCGGGTCTTCAGATTTCTTTTTGTTTTGTTATAATTACGAATACCAAATTTATTGAAGCTTTTTTGTTTTGTTTTGATAGTGAATTCCTAGTTTCTAGTGCTTCCACAACGCCATCTTGCACTTTTGTTCTAATTCTTCTTATACAACAGTCTTCGTCAGTTTTTACGACTTATTTAAAACGATGTAGTGGTTAAGACGCGCTTGTTGTGATAATGAATACCTAAAATAGAAGAATAAAACCCGGAGGGTGTTCCACAGACAACCACACTCTTTGATTTAACAACGACGGATGTTTATTTATGGACGCAAACTATTCACGCGTTGACCAGAACGGGGGAGGACTGAAAGAGAGGAGGTTACTGGAGCGCCGATAAGGACTGTCACCATACCGTGTCTGCCCAAGTTTATAATCTCTCTTTTTCCAGTTCCGGCTTGATAAATTTGATTTCGCGTCTTATCAAGAATAACGATGCAAATGAGACGTTCTTTTTTGCTTTTTCGGTGAAGAATGTTTCCATGATTTTACGTCCGAATCGCTGTGGATGCGTTCCCAGGACCTTGTTGCTGCCGAAGTTCGGTGCGCACCCAGAACACTTCATCGCATAAGCAGTGATGGGATGTGTGAGATGATTAGCTTTTGATATAGCCTTATTTTGATGACCTCATACGCAGTCGTTTACGCATCGTCTGATTTGCCCTAATATATTCAGCTCCACATTTGAGGGGCACCGAATACATCTTCCCGGTCTCCCATTCTCTGAAGTGCACACTAAACATTATGACGCCCTTGAGGGCGTAATTGGCTTGTTCTATAACTAACACCCTTGTTGGTGTAGCAAAACGCCCTAAGAAAAGGGCGTCATTGCTAACACCCCTAAAGGAGGGCGTAATTCTGAACACCCTTAAATTAAGGTTTGATTCCACTGTAACCTTTTTATAGAGGTGTTATGACTGCGCAGTACGCCCTCTAAATTGGGTGTACCACCACAAGAAAGTGAAGCAAACTAGTGCATGAAGAAATGACTGCAAATGAGTCTAAACATGCTTGGTTCACTTTTTATTTTTCGATCAAGGTTCTACCAGGTTCAACTAAATTCTCTCTAGACGATTGCAAGCAGGTCATCTTACCGCAGCCACGCCTCTGCTTATGCGGGCAACTGCGTGCAATTACAAGGTTGCCAAAGGGCAAAGCTACGTTCACGCGCACGTCATCAAACTTGGCGAAGGCAAGACTGAAAAAAATAGTTTCCTTTTACCCTCGAAATTTCACCACGACCAAGACACTTCTGAACCAGTGGCGGTCCGTGTGTGTAAGGTCACGAACATTCCAACCGGATATTGTTTCGTAACCTCTTAATATTCTACAACCAAAGGCACTAGTTAAATCTCCAACTTCACTTTTCCTGGGGCATTTATGCTTTCTAGCACTGGTGACGTAAGCAAAACTGACTGGCTTGCAAAGACGGAACGACCGGGAGTTGCTTGGGACGTAAGCGGCAGTTCATGCTTGTAAACAGTAAAATGGTCAATTGAGACGGAAGCAGGACTACTATCAGAAGCATACTTGCAGAGTACTTACGAATAAAACAGCGATCTCATGTAATCCGTGATAGATGCATAATCCGATTCGGGCAGTACAGAACAATCCACAAATACAATGTCGAGGATGAAGGCGGTCGCTCACATTCAACGGAAGTCTCGCGGTCGCTGATGAGCAGCTCACTGTCGTGATAGATGCGTAATCCGATTCAGGCAGCACAAAACGCAAACACAATGTCGAGGTTGAAGGCGGTCGATCACATTCAACGGAAGTCTCGCGGCCGCCGATGAGCAGCTCTTTGTCGAAACGCGTCCAACAAACAGAGCACAATAATTCCATGGACTCTGACGAAATAAACGACCATTACCGAAAAGTTGGCATGGATGCATTCCGGCCGTTCTCATAAAAAAATCACACTGACGGGCGCCCCTTCCCTTTTTGGAAACCGGATTTACGTGGACCCTATGACTCACCATAACTTGGCATACGGCAATGACTACGGCCCCAGTAGCCCATCAGCGCGTCAGAGCGAGTCACGTAACAAATTTCCGTCCAAGCGTTTTTGTCCTACGGAGAGCGGTCACGTGTTTCGCGCCACCCCTCTGATTTGTTAGAAGCAGCCTTCGCACTCGCTCACAGCCACACGAAGACACAAAAGAAGGTGTGGAGGCTTATCAGAACACGAGGTCAAAAGGGGTTGGACAAAGCAGCTAATCTCTCTCCGCTGCTTTGTGTTGCCACCTGCACTGCCCAGAGAAAGTCGCGAAATCGGACTCGACAGGACTTGCTTTGCGTAGTACTGCCTTGAGCATATCAAACTGCCACTCATGTAGAAGCGCATGCTCTGGTGCGTACCGCGAGATCATAAAATGAATACAAAAAACAAATTTTAACGCCGTCGTAGCACGGGACAAAGCTAAGGCGCTGGGTACATAAAACAATAAGAGGCTCGGTTTCACGTGTACCAAAGAAAAACCGAAAGAAAAAAAAAAAAGCGTCGGGACGCTAGATATTTTGGTGTCCCCACGCAGAGAAAATAGTCGCATTCCGAAGGGGGGGTGTTATGAATCCGGCACTTTCTAGAGTGCCTTCATGTGCGCTTCGCATAGAGTGATGCCAACTGCCTGTTTCCCTTCCCCACACCCTCTTCCAACGCCTTTTTTTTCCTCTCATTGTTTCCCCGTGCGCCGGAAAGTGGCCTTTGTGTCCATCGGTAATCCCATCAGAGGGGGAAAATGCTAATCCTCCCTCCGTGGGTTCCACAACGCTGCTCCGAACTTCTGAGATAAGGTGCTTGTTTCCGGGAGCGTTATAAGCCCCACGGATTATCCCCGAGGAACAAAATAGCTGCTGGTTTGTCGGCGAGTGGTATTACAAAAAGTGGCATCACCCTAGCAAAGCGCACATGAAGGCTCCCTAGCACTTTCGATCGTCTTGTGACATTGATTTTTTTAAACTACACACAAAAATAAAATCTCAGTGAAGGTGCTATAAGTAGTGCGAAACCCATCTAGGTGAGCTTGTAATACCCGAAATGAGGGCGCCACAGTTTGTTCAAATCTTCAGCGCAGGAGGCCTTTCTCAGGTCTAAAGCAAGCAGATTCCATTTTGCGTAATCTTGGTTGTTTTGTTTTTTAACGTCGGATTTTAGGCAGCCAAAAAATAGAAATTCCTTGCCGGCATAGCCGATTCACGCAGGACACTCTTGACGCTTAACCAAAACGGCGCCCCGTACGGTATGTCATGATGGCGTCGGCGCGACCCATCCCATTTTTCACAAATATTGGCTAGACCAAAATGGTATCGGCGCAATCTTTCCGATTTAATTCCATAACGGCGCAGTACTGTGTGCTGCCTGGGTTGTATATTTACACGCCTTCGTTCATTTTTTTGCGAGCGAAGATGATTTTTTTTTTTTTTAAATCAAAGTTGAAGTGATAAATCTGATGCACGCGTGACACGTAATTTTCGCTTCGTGTCGGACGGAGAGTTCAATCGGAGTTGCAAAAACTGTTCTACAGCACTTCCTAATCACACGCGGTTTCGTGCGGTGATTAATTATACTCGATGTTTGTACAGCCGTAGATCAGCAACAGTTTCACCATTTTTAGGCCACCTGAGACTGGGTGGAAGAAACACGACGACGTTTGAGACGTCGCCGTGTTTCTTCCACCCAGTCTCAGGTGATCTAAAAATGGTAAACTTACACCAGCTCGCCTGCGCCCTAACTGTTTTTTTCAGTTTCACCAAACCAGTAAACATAAACGGCTATGAAATCATGGGTGTATTTGACAGCACCACCATTACACCCCTTTCACACCGTGTGAATGAAGGGCGTACAATTCGCCCATACACCCTTTTTACATGATTTCAGGCACCATCGCTACAAGTGGGGCTTAAAAAGGGCGTGTAAGGGGTGTAAAACGCCAGCACACCCTTTTTACACCCACCGATATCAGAAATCGTGTAAAAAGGGTGTTTTGCCTAACTTACACCCTTTTAACACGATTATGGGTGTTACATTGTTTAGTGTGTGGGTGTGATTGTTTTTTTCGCAGGGCGGTTTAGCCTCCTTTAGGTTAACCATACTGCACAGACTCGCCAGTGTTAATGTGCAGGATAAGACGACTTTCGAGTAAAAGCGGGTGGTGACTGATCGGATGCGATGGCATGCGTTGTGAAAGTACGGGATGCTGGTGATCCTTTGTCGTGCAGGTGGGGGAGGGGGGGAGGGAGGGGGGTTCCTGGTGGTTCTTGGTGTGATAACTTGGGGGAAATAGGAGGCGATCCGTTCCACTAGATATCCTGAATATGAATAGAAGGTAAAAGCGCTAAAAAAACGACGGACAAGTTGAAGATTGACGAACACCACAGAGCGCTAACTTGCAACTGAAGTTTATTACTGAAAAACACGTACACATATATACACCGTGACATCCTGAATATCCTGAAATCAGAAGCCGTTGAGCTTGGGTGTTGATGCTTTCGGTTGCTGAATACCCACATGATTTAGTTTTTTCCGAGATGAGTAGGGCCTTGATCGCCCCAAGTTTAACCGACTTGGAATGGCACTTTTAAACGAGAATGCCGGCTTTTTCGAGCGCTGTTGGAAAGTCCAGCAAACACCTCGCATCATCTTGGCCAGTCGTCGGGCCGAAAACTGAGATTTTCTCCTCATTGGTAAAAAGAAGCCAGAATGGCCTCCACTTTTTGTAGTTTCAGGCTGGGCAATGATATAGTAGTCTACGTTGCGAAAGACTTCACACTGGGGGCTGTGCTTTTTAGGTTTTCCCAGACGGCCCGGTCTACGTGCGACAAATAGATTTCACATGAAACAGGCGCAAGGCACGACCCTATGCATGCACTGAATTTTTGAAGCCAGATCAATACTTCATGTTCAATCATCGTAGATTTGATTTATAGCTGAAGAAGTTCGATGAATCCGGCAAGTGGCACTCTGGAGGAACTTCGGAACTCGCATTGTCTGTGTTCAGTGATTGCATCTTCTACACAGTTTAGGAAATACGGGATGTCCAGGTTATAATTAGGGTTCCGTGCTTTGGGATAAATTTAAGAAAATCTTAAAAACAATCGCTGGTAAATTTTTCGTCAATTCTGATTTATCCGAAAATTTCCGAATTTCAAGGTCACAGCGACAACGTAAACAGCAAAAAAAAAAAAAAAAAAAAAACGGAGGTTTACAACTAAACTTTATAGGGGCTGAAGATCACTGGCCCTGAGGAGATTCCACTTCTGTTTCCTTCGAAATCAAGAGGTACTGACAAAAGGGGCTTGTCCTTTAGTACTTCGAGGTTCCTTCGATGCAACGGGTTAAAGTACCCCAACCTTAAATATTTTGTATTTGAATTTTATTTCACGCAATAAAATAAACTAATTTTCAAAGAATAGGGAATGCAACAAAAATAAACCCCAATAAACCGCAACAAAATAAACTCCGATAGACATTTGTTATAAATATAATTTTTTTTTTACTGGAGGTGCACGGCCAAGGTTACGAGTGTCCGTTAGAAACCATGTAAAGCATCGGCATGTGGAGTGCGATGTCCATTCTGACAAGCACCGAGGCCACTGAAAAGTGAAGGACGCGAGGAGGAAAATCGTGATGTTTGCTGGTGGTGTTCAAACAGACATCGGCCTGCCGGACGCTTCAACTTCCTCGATTTTTGACGGAGTCGTGACGCCCTACGATTTCTGAAGTGTGCTATTTTGGACAGGCCATTAGCTAGTAGGAACGAACTTTATAATTCAGCAAGTAAATCCGAGCTCTCAGTATGATTTACCAAGTCATGTGGTCCATTTATGAATACCTGAACCAACTTGGAAAATCATTAGACAGAACATCAAATAAGGACATCTCTCTTCCCAGTCTAGAGATCCCTCTTGTTTATCGTACGACAAATACCTTTTGAACTTAACGAATGCTATCAGGACTGATCGATCAAGCGTGAAGTCTTAATACCTTTTTGTCCTTTCTTTTTCACACGCTCAATCCTTTCCTTTTGCTATTGGAAAGTCTTTGGTGGTTACCAAGCAGCCTATCTTGAATGTATTTTGCAAGAAGCACAAGTACGAACAAAAAATATTCGTTTTGCGCATTAATACTGCCACGGCGCAGTGCCTTTACGTGTAACTAAACAAAGACCGTAAAGACCCAAGCGAGCCGGTCCTTAGTTACTTCGACCTAAAAGTACGCACCGATTGAAAAAGTAAGGAGATATTCTGGCTTCGAAAGGAGTGCGGATTCGTCATGCGTCAGAAACCGGGAGGGGTCAAATTCTTCGGGATTCTTCCAGTACTTGGGGTCGAAGTGAACAGCCCAGAAGTTGGCTAGGACAACGGTTCCTTTGGGAATCCGGTATCCATTCAACGAGACATCCTCCTCGGCTCTGAAACAGTTAAAGGTATTTGATGTATTCAGAAGTGAGAGGCCTCTTTCCAATATTATTTAGATATGATAATGGAAGGCTTCAGTCCGAGCACTCACTGCCGGAATTACTTGATTCTTGAAGCAATAAGCGGAAGCATTCGCCATTGCAAGGTTATTTTTTATTGCTAGGCCTTGCGAGGAATTTTGTGCATATTTGTTTTCATGGTGAGGTACTATATCTTTTAAGGCGTAATTGTTTTTGCTCAGAACGTCAATAGAGCATCTCCCACGGCTCTTTCCCGGGGGAGCTGGTACGCTTCATAAGCATTTGGAAGCGAGACCTCTTTCTGTTTAATCGAGGTATTCGGGTGCTTTATAATGCTAAAAGTCTTAAAGCGACCCAACAAATTCGACTTGTTGCAAACCAATATACCATTGCTTATAAATCAGATATGTTTAGTTTGTGCGTTTTCGTGAACGATCAAGTGCTGAGTTTGTCTCGGTCAGAAGTGGGAAAGAAACATTTACACCCTACTGACAAACGTTAAATAAAAAGGCAAAAAAAAGTTTAAATATTTTAGTATCACTAAGAATGGGCATGCCTTACGCTCCTTTGCGTGGAACCTTGTTTCAAATAATTTGGAAGCACCAGGCTTCAAGGTTTTGTAACGTCATACAAATGTATAGGTTTAGTTGTTTTTTTTTATATAAAGGAGAGCGTTACTTAAATTCCGTTAGCGCCGCTCTGACTAATCATGTGTTGGTGTGTTCAAACATTTAAACGCATATTTTTAGACTTTTCCCCCGTATTACTCGCTTCCCGAAGTCTCGGAATTGACACGGTTTGTATGCCGAATATTTCAACTAATTAACACATCGTTTTAAATGTATTTAAATTAGAGGCCAAAAATAAAGCAGTTTATATTTTAATATTTTTGTACACTTTTTAACGCGAAAGCATTAACTGTTCCATTGCGCAAGACAACGTCATCAGTTTGAGGCGCGAAAAGAGAACCTAGATTCCGCGATCCAAATGGGAGTGGAGCAACGTAACAACGGTACGTTAGAAATACAACGTAACCAGTCATTCAAACACAGTAACAGTCTCCTATCACTTATTACCAAGTCGTATCAGATAACGAAGATATTAATTATAGCTAATTACACAGTATATTAGCCTGTAAATAAAACGCACACCTATTTACAATGAATACGGTTTTTGGCGTAGCCAGCGAGCATTTATTGAATCTGTTCGTTGACCTCTACCACAGTTTGCGCAGTGAGATCGATAAAAAAAAACTTTCGGAGTCACATAAACCTATCGACGGGGATGTTGTACCCAACGCTAGTTATTAACCTTCCAAAGCGGGGAATGCCTTTAACGGAACTTCCCAATACAAAATATATTTCGGGTAAATCAACATTACCGAACCTAAACACGAATTGAGCTTGACAATAAATATAATTTAATCTTCAATCACGAACTGTTTGCTGGCTTATAAACACATAAAAAATTCTACTTAAATACGGCAATCATTGCATTTTAGGACTTGAGATTTAAAACCTCTATCATCGACTACATGACAAAATATTAATGAAATGGCGCTCGTCTTAAACAATAAAACATAATTTTAGTTATATATACAAAACTAGAACACCGCATTTTGTTTGTTTTTTCTTTAGGATGTATCCTTGCGTCATTACCTGTCATAATGTTCATTGTTGACATAATTAAAGGCTTTGATAGAACTGTGATTTTCAGATAGCAATAAATCATCGTACACCATATCCTGGTAAAGTTTGAGTAATACGTTGGCTATGCAGCCCGCTTGGTGCATTACCTGGAATCTCAAATGAAAATGACGTAAAGGTCGAGCTAGATGGTTATTCAAGTTCTGACACTTTTAACGGAACTTTCTAATACCAAATATATTTCGGGTAAATCAACATTACAGGACCTAAACACGAATTGAGCTTGACAATAAATATAATTTAATCTTCAATCCCGAACTGTTTGCTGGCTTATAAACGCATAAAAAATTCTACTTATATACGGCAATCATTGCATTTTAGGACTTGAGACATAAAACTTCTATCATCGACTGCATGACAAAGTATTAATAAAATGGCGCTCGTCTTAAACAATAAAGCATAATTTTAGTTATATATACAAAACGAGAACACCGCATTTTGTTTGTTTTTCCTTTAGGAAGTATGCTTGTGTCATTACCTGTTATAATGTTCATTGTTTACATTAGTAAAGGCTTTGATAGAACTGTGATTTTCAGATCGCAATAAATCATCGTACATCGTATCCTGGTAAAGTTTGAGTATTACGTTGGCTATGCAGCCCGCTTGGTGCATAACCTGGAATCTCAAATGAAAATGACGTAAAGGTCGAGCTAGGCTGGTTATTTAAGTTGATGGTTTGATGTGTACGCTTTCAACTTCGGTACAACTTTGAGCAATCACTGATATCCGCTCATGTCAGATTTTCCCGTTATTACTAGTGCTGCATTGGCAACATTGTAGTCCTAATAAATAAACAAAATAACGTGTCAAGCTTGCATACATAATAACAGTGCTTGGCAGAGATACAATATAAATAATTCACCTTTTCGCACGAAACACCCGCAAACTATAGTCCTCTCCCTTGCGTGTTTCGCGTTTGTCTTGATATGCTCGTCAGAGCACAGTGTTTGCAGTCGTATCTCGTTAATATGTACCCCTTTACTATACCCCCGTGTCCTGTCAATTAAGAACGCCCTTTATATGGACATAGGCTTAGGGGATGGTCTGGCTATATACACGCATTTTTGTTCCATTATTAGGGACGTCAGGCATCAATAACGATATATTTTGGGAACGACGTGCCTACATTGACGATAGATGACTGTATATACCCCCGTATATTCACAAAATCTTGGAGACAGACAGGGTAAACACGTGGATTTTTGGGTCGTCATTATAAACGACTCAAATAATGCACAATTTTTGAGGGAAACGGAGGTGTCCATATAATCGAGTCATGACTGTACCAGAACAGGTGTAGTTGTCTTACAGTCTTGGCAGGTTGAACGGATTGAGGGTTTTCCAGCGCTGCATCTCCCATATCACGGCCATTGTGTATGGCATAGCCTGGTGGTCTTCCCACGTCGGGGTGTTGCAGGACCCAACAACCCTATCTATCTCTCCGTAGATCTTGGCTTGAAGGGTGTCCGGTTGGTTAGCGCAATGGTATATAATGCACAACATGGTGGCTGCCGAGCTGGTCGTTCCCGCAACGAAGAAATCGAGCATGTTGCCATGAAGGGTGTCAACTGTGTGTGATAATAAGCAGTACAATGTAACGGCACATGCCAGAAAGGTCAAGATACTGCACGTGTTGTCAAAGCTAAAAATATGTTTTCGCTTAAAACAAAACGCGTGCTTTGCGTCCTTGTGCGTAATGTAAGCCCGTGAATTGTTACAGCGAAGATTATATTTTAGGTTTAAACATGTTTTTTAACACAGTAATTCATCGAGATCTCTCGGAGATTGCAGCAATGAGCTCACTCAATTGCTTTCTGGGAAAGTCGAATCACCAAATTTCTTAGACTGGGAACAAGAAACTGAAGGAGGTTTAAATGCTTCACTTAAGAAGGTTCAAATGCTTCACTTAAGCGAGGAGACGCAAAATAAAAACAAAAAGTCCTGAATATTTTTGTTGATTCCTCAGGACGACAGACATACAATATTTATTTGAAGTTTAAACCCCTTGCTCCCCTGCCTCAGGAGAGCACACCCTTCGCAGATGACCCTCGAAGAGAACAAAATACAATTTGGATTCATCTTATACATTGGAGAATGAGAAGTTTCTTTTCTGTCAAGGGTCAGGGCTGAAACTTTGAACACTAATCTGTTGCAATTCGGTTATCATGATTCTAAATTCGTTATTTTCAGCTTCTACAAACGGCGAGAAATGACACTTACTGTTGATGTTCAGATCGGGTTGCCCAAGGTGCTGCGTTATCAGTGTAAGGTAGCCATCAATGAAGTGTCGATCGGCGTCTGACTTCCCTGTCTCCAAACGGAGAGCGACTTCACGGCTGAGTGAAAGAACGATTACTTAGCGTGACCCCTTTGGCTATCAATTAAAATAATGTTTACCTTCCTTCTAAGACTGTGAGCAAAAGCCAGCACGCATAATTAAAAAAAATATATATAAATAACATTGTACTGTCATGCCCCAAATCTCGTCCATAAATCTGTCCCTGCCATATATATGCGCCGAGAAAGTGAGGGAGAGGACGAGACAAGAGGGGACGTAAGAACGCCGCGCTCTGATTGGAACGGTTAGTGGGTAGACGTAAAGCTAGTTGCGTTTGTCTCCACTGCACTCGGCGAACGCGCTAGAACGCAGAACGCCCGCGTCCGGCGTCGTCTGCCCGCTAATCGTTCCCAAACAGAGCTCGGCGTTCTGACGTCCCAGCGTGGTATCGTCTCCCTCTCTCTATCAGTTTCTGGGCGCATAGACATCTCACAGATATTACAGCTCAGTTATTCCACGCCAAAGGAGACGCCGCATGCTTTTTCTGTCTGGGATATGTAAGCAAAAAACTTTAAATAAAAAAAACCTCAAAACTGAAAGAAATATTTCTATTTTATTTTAATTAATTTTTTTTTGCTGATATAATCCTCGAAATTACTGAAATTTGCATAACGCCCGTGAAGTTAAGAAAAGCATAGTGAAAAAACGATTACGTACCAAACAATTTAGGTGGGCGCCTAATTACTTAAAAACATGCCCTCCCTGTATTAGAGCAAAATACAAACATTGAAAGACACCATTTTGAGTCAAAATAGGAGCTCCAACAAGAAATGGCTTTATGAGACTTTTTTTGTTAACTGGAGGCCAACAGAACATGTCTCGAATTCTGAACTCCCTAGAATTCTTAGACGAAGTCTATTTGATAAGAGGTGTGAGTTGCACGGGCGCCGTCTTAGCGGTTTGAGTGTCAGGCTCGGCGAACGTTAGTTGAGGTAATAACCGTAATAGTAAGTACCTACGTACATATTGGTACGCAGGAATGCATGTATGTACGTATGTATGTACGTGAAATGTACATACGCACATTTCAAAGTAACATACTTTTGGGTTGTGAGTTAGCGCTTCTCTCATTTTTGCGTTTCGTTTCTGTCCTTGTCTTCGCCTTTTTGTGCGCTATTATTTCATCTTGTTCAGCCAGTACCACCTCGCCCAGCTTACCACCTTACCACGTCATGGTAAATAAGTTTATTAAACAAATTTGGATTACCTTTTTAGTTTTTGGTTTCGTGGCTGATGTTGCGATTCCAGTATTGATGCCAACTACTATCAGAGGCCTCAGAAACTTACGAAATTAGCTGCAAGGTAATAGTTTCTTGTAGATATTCATCGATCAGTTTTCGTATTTTTATTAACGATGTCAATATGGCTCGTAAAAAGATTGCCACAAGCCGTGTCCACAATTACGCTTAGAAGAGTGAGGCAGTCGTTTTCATGACGCCGTCACAATCTCTGCAGCGTGTCCTTGGTGGATGCGCCAACGAACCTCAATACATGGTGATGCGACATCACTGTTATCATTTTACATAGGTGAAGAGATATTTGGTCTGAATTGTTTTTACATCTGAATATACGGCAGACGTGGTCGACTCGCAATATGCATTTCCGAACTCAGAAAGCGGACGATGAAGGCCTGCTGTCCTGTGCAGTTACATGTAAGCTAGAGTGAAATTAAGACGCCAGTCTCATTACGCAAGGTAAATAGGATATGGATGCGCGGATGTCAAGATAACGTCCCCTTCAACTGAATAAAGAGTGTTTTTAGGAGAGAGTTGAAGACCAAGCAGCGGCGTCTTACACCGTTGACGCCTCTTTGGAGAAAGCCGGCGTGCGTCGCCTACGAAGTGGGCGCCTGGATGCATGGTCAAAAATACTAATAGAAAAAAAATCAAATTTTTCAGCAATAACAAAAGGTACTTTTTATTTTTGTATGTATGTTAAACAGATGGGGTGGATTGAACTCTTGGATGTTTCGAAAGTTCCGGTTCCCGATGCCTACATAGCGTTTTCTGGCTCTCACTAAGGCCGTTTATGCATAAACTGGGCAATTTTTCATTTAATTAAAACGTTACAAAACGAGGCTTTGAAAAGTTAATACGTGCAATTTAATTAGTACTGAAATAAGAACAAACGAAAACGGTATTGCATCTAACACCCTAATTAAAGTTGACTAAAAAAGTAAAGAAGTCTCAAAATGTTCCTTCTTTTTTTAAGCTCCTGTTTGGACTGAAAATGGTGTCGTTAAATGTTTGTATTTTACTGTCAGATAGGGCATCTTATTAAGTTTAGAGGCGCCTACTTAAATCTTTGTGGTACACAACCGTTTTTTTTTTTTCAGAATGTTGTCTTAGCTACACGGGTTTTATGAAAAGTTCAGAAATTGAGAGCATGATATTGCCGCGCGCGCAGCTGACCACATAGGCTGTGCGCTCGTGGCCTAAATGTTATCGCGCGTGCATTCCACACAAAAAGCCAAGGTTTGGTGCCCGGCTGCGGGTACATATTTTTGTTGACTCTGTAAGGCGATTTTCTGGTAAATTCAGGAAACGCGTTGCTGATTCGAGGTTAGAATGTTCTACGCGCCGAACATTCTACGCCGAATGTTCCAGAAACCCACGGCGGTACAAAAGGTGCTCCGCGTGGCGAGCCGGGGTCAGCTCGCCCCAGCGCTCGATCCTTCTGTTTCGCCGACATCGACGCCTGCGACGCTAGTATTTCTCCATTTTCTTTTGGGCACAAGTTCGCCCCATTAAACGTTTAGTTTCTTTACTTATTCGAAGCCTCATCATTTGTATTTCGTGACATTATTATCAAAATTAAAATGTATTTTTTCACAAAAAAAAAATGTTTTCTTAAAGTTAAGAGGCTTGTTTATTCAAAATATTTTTTTTCATATATATATACCAGACATAAAAAAATTACCGCGTCTCCTTAGGCATGGAATTACTAAGCTGTAAGAACTGCTCTCTATTTATAATGGAGACATTACCGTTGAGGGAATAAATGCACGTTGCATTATCGCACGAGCAGTTTTAATTCTCGACTTCCGCAAAGCTATATTAAAAAGATGCTTAAAATTTGTCATCGCGTCTTTGGCTTAGAACATTTAAAACACATAAGTAATTTTAATATATTAAAGGCTAAACAAAAAAGAGGAACAACGAGAGGCATGTGCAGGTTTTCCCTTTTTGTTTAGCTTTCATTATATTATTATATTCGTCTAGACGCTCGTCCAACTCTCCAAGTAACCTGTACCTAAAGAAATTGGTGAGATCTCGTGCCAATTCCAGGCCTTTGTTGCCTCCAAGAACGGGGATATACGCCGATATCCAATTGAGACATTTAGGTAGCGGGTTAACAGGGGTGACGCCAGAGATCAGCTTAGCGAAAGTATCCAAGTGTTGCTCCAGCTCTGCTAGCTTTGGGTCGTTGAACTCGAAACGGCTACCCAGCACCATCTCAGCGATGACGTTGACCACGCAGGAAATGACCAAGGATCGCATCGTCATAGGGCCACCTTTCGCTTCTGCCACCTTGTCCCGAAGGCACCGAATCTCCTCCTATTGAACAATAGAATGCTTTATTTAAATTAAAATTACAACGGAATGTCTGACTCCATATGAAGTCTTGAGCGTCGAGTACTATGCTACAAGACTAATCATTAGATACTCTCCAGCTTTTTTTAAAATTTTTTATTTAAGCTGTGATTTTTGGTATCACAAAGCTTATGATTTCATAAAACGCGGGTGTCAGCCCTCACGATGTTATCACCAAATAATATGGCACAAAGTATGATATGTTTTTGAGTAGTCAAAGGGAGTATGGTGCAATAAAACTAAGAAATATAAAGCCTACCTTTTTTAGCGAAAATCTGATCTGACGTGTAGGCTCTTTGTCACAAACAAGGATGAACAATAGGGTCAACGTTAGGTTGGTTATTTTGCGAGTAATGACTCATTGAACCCCCTCCTTTACGAGAATTCCACTGCCATGTGCATATAAAAGAGCGGAATCTACAGCGTAGACGGAATGGATTGAACGCACTTTAAACTAAACGCAAAATCGGTTTCTCACCTTATCGCGCCGAGATTTACTACAGGGCTGCTCGAAGGTGGTGCATTCAATAACTGAGAGTATGAATACACAAAACCTGCGGAGTAAAAAAAATGAATAATAAAAGCTGGTTTAATTTGTTTATAGAAAAAGGTGTAGCTATGTCTTTTTTCTCAAAATCATCAAAAAATCGTTCTGGACTGTTGTGTATGTATAAAGATATGTAACAGGTTCCCATTCTCACCACCAGGGTGAGCTGGTCTTTGCCCTATAAAATGTGTCTTCGCCATATTAAATTTGTTCTTTGTGTGCTGTTCCTCTGAGTGGCAGCTTCTGTTCTTTGGCGCTTTGGCGCGACAGAACACTGGCGACGAGGATGGGATGGAAGATCAAACGAACCGAGTAACAACGTGGCAAGCAGCACAATGCCGAAGCTCACGGAGTTCAAGCCGGAAGAGGACGACGTCGACGAGTATCTCGAACGCCTCGAGATTTCCCTTCGAGTGAACGCTGTCAAGACCGAAGACAAGGCGGTGACGCTGCTGAACTACATCGGGAAAGCGTCGTACCAGGTTCTGAAAACCTTGCTCGTCCCAGACTCGCCGGTATCGAAATCGTACGACGTACTTTCCGAGGTGCTGAAACGCCACTACGCGCCCAAGCGCTTAGTGATTGCAGAGCGCACGAAGTTCCATTGGAGAAATCAAGAGGTCGGCGAGAGCCTAGCGGACTTCTCCTTGGCTATCAAGAAGCTCGCCCAGACATGCGCGTTCAAGGACTATCTCGACCAGGTACTCCGGGACCGGCTCGTGGCGGGGTGTCGCGACCCTGAGGTACAGCGGACACTCATCCAGCTCGACAACGATTACTTCGACGAGGTTCTGAAGGTGGGCCTGGCCAATGAACTTTCTCTGTGCAAAACGGACGAAATACGACTGCCGGGCGTTCCGGACTCAATGGACCTGCACCGCGTTCAAGGTGATGGTGAAGGACACTCCCGGTGTCCACCTTCCGCCACTGCGTCGCCAGAGGTCCAGTATCAGCGTACGGTAGGCCCTTGTTTTAGATGCGCTAGTACCGTGCATGCTTCCGCGAAGTGTCCGTTTTTGAAAGCAAAGTGTTTCGAATGCGGGAAGCAGGGGAAAACTAAGGCGGTGTGTGGGGTCAAGATTAAGCCTACTTCGAACACCAAGCGCGGGCCTTGGAGCGTAACCTGTATACGGAACAATGACGCGTCTGCGGCATTCCAGAATGTATTAGAAATCGAAGGAAAACCGGTTACGATGGAAATCGACACTGGTTCAGCTGTTACTTTGTTGCCAGAAAGAATGTATGTGAATTTGTTTTCTCACGTGCCCCTTGAGGCGAGTGACATGCGTCTCGGAACGTACACCGGGGCTCTAGTGCCAACCAGGGGTACAGCGAGCGTTAATGTAAAAAAACGGGGAGCTCCGAAGCGAAAAGTTACCTTTGATTGTGGTAAAATCCGCGAATGCCCAGCTGCCAGCTCTTCTAGGCAGAGACTGGATCGAGCAGTTAGAAATTCACTGGACGGGCGTGGGTCGTATCGAGAACGACACGATGACAGACTCACTGAAAAGGTCGTTCCCTAGCATCTTTGAAGGTCCTGAGGGGCCGATAAAGGGTTTTCAGGCAAGGATTGTACAGAAAGAAAACTCTCAACCTGTGTTTTGTAAACACAGAGTGGTGCCATACGCATTCAGAGAGCAAGTAGAGAGTGAACTTGAGAAAATGGTGGCGCAAGGCATTCTGAGGCCTGTAAAAAGTAGTGAATGGGCAACACCCCTTGTTGTGGTTCCTAAGCCAGGGGGTAAAGTTTGCATCTGTGGTGACTACAGTATGTCCGTAAACCCACAGGCGATGGTGGATCACTACCCATTGCCGAGGGTAGATGAGGTGTTCAACAACTTTCGGGGGTGTGGCATCTTTGCTATTTTGGACCTAAAGACTGCATACTTGCAGTTAGCCCTTGACGAAGCGTCGCGGAAACTGCTCACAGTGACCACTCACCTAGGATTGTTTCAGTTTTTAGTATGCCTTACGGAGTCTCGAGCGCACCAGCAATTTTCCAGAATGTAATGGATAAGATTTTGTTGGGCCAAACCAAGGTAGCGTGCTATCTTGATGATGTACTGGTGTGTGGCGTAGACCAAAATGACTGCAATCAGAGAGTCTTGCAAGTGTTGAAACGTTTTCAGGAACATGGACTTTGTGTGAATCAGGAGAAGTGTAAATTTTTTGTACGCGAAGTGCGTTACTTGGGTTACTTGTTGAGTGACCAGGGTTTGAAGCCATGCCCTGAGAACATAGAGGCTATCAGAAAGGTACCCGTACCAAGAACGTGACGGAGGTTAAGGCGTTTGTGGGGCTGCTAGCTTTTTATGCTCGTTTCCTCCCAGACTTAGCTGCCACACTGGGACCTTTGTATGAACTCTTAAAGAATGACAAGAAGTGGCATTGGTCAGAAGTATGCCAGCAGGCTGTAGACAGAAGCAAAGATAAAATTTTGCAGTGCTGGGGTGACTGTCTTCTACGACCCTAGCCTACCACTTCGAGTGACGGACGACGCATCTAGCTACAGCCTCGGAGCAGCCTTAACACAAGACATGGGAAACGGGGACTACAGACCAGTGGAGTTTGCGTCTAGGACGCTTACTGTGGCTGAAAAGAACTACGCACAAATGGAAAGAGAGGCCTTGGCACTCATATTTGCGGTCAAGAAATTCCACCGGTATCTCTTTGGGTGTTCGTTCACCCTGGTAACTGACCACTACCCGCTAACGTCGATCTTGGGACCTAAGTATTCTACAACAGCCATAGCTGCTGCGAGGATTCAGAGTTGGCGCTTGTTACTTGCAGAGTACAACCTCAAGATTCTGTACGGCAAGGGCGGGGAGCTCGGGGATGCTGATGCCCTATCGAGACTTCCTCTGAAGAAAACTGTGGGAGAGGAAAGTACGTTGAAATATTTTTCACCCACAGAGCAACCGCTTCATTCAAGTTCCAATGTGGGGAAAGAGACCCTCAGCGACCCCTTGCTGCAACGTGTCCTTGAACACACCAAGAGTGGTTGGCCAACATCCGTGCAAGATCCAGGGTTGCATCCCTTCTGGCAGAGGCGGGAAACGCTGTCAACGGACCAAGACTGCCTATTGTGGAGGATTAGAGTCGTGATTCCACAGGCACTACAGGCTGCGGTCCTCAAGAGCCTGCATGAAGAACATCCAGGAATGGTGCGTATGAAACAACGTGCGAGAGGGCATGTGTGGTGGCCCGGAATCGACGCCATGATCGAGAACAAGGTGCAGTCATGCGAGATCTGCCAAGCGGTCCAAAACGACGTTCTTCCAGTACCCCTCTAGCCATGGAAGATGACCTCGCGGGTCTTCGAACGTATTCATTTGGACTTTGCAACCAAGTCGGGAACCAACATGTTTGTTTTGGTTGACAGTTTTTCTAAATGGGTTGAGGTCCTGCCCATGTCTTCCACAACCGCACCCCAGACAGTCGCGAAAACTTATGGCTGTCTTCGCACAGTTTGGACTAGCCGAAGTGATGACTGATGGAGGCCCCCAGTTTCGAAGCGAGGAGTTCAAGAACTTCTTGAAGGATCAAGGAGTGGTACACACCATGACGCCACCCTACCACCCGGCTTCGAACGGCGCCGCGGAGAAGGCTGTGCAAACAGTCAAGCGAGCGCTGCTCAAGCAAGTACTTGAAGACGACCTCCGAGGGAAGAGGCGGAATATCCAGGAGAAGTTGTCGTGTTTCCTACTTGCCTACCGGACGACACCACACACAAGTACTGGAAAGGCCCCTGCAGAGCTGTTCCGGGGACGGCTTCCGCGGACCCGACTGTCGCAGCTCAAGCCAGGTGCAACGTCCCTTCCACGGCGAGAGAAGCAAAACAAGAGAAAGGAGCTGGCTGACAAGCGCAGAGGTCCAACGAAACTCTTTCAAGTGGGCGTCAGAGTTTGGGTTCGAAATGTGAGGGGGAGAGAGTAAACTGGACTAAAGGAATTTTAAAGAAAGCAATCAGTCCGGTTACATACCTCGTGCGGGTGGCTAACCAGATTCGTTATGTGCATGCTGATCACTTGCGCTTTCGAAGTGAGGGCTCGTCCCGATCAGCCTCTTCGGAGAGTGGATCGAGTGATAGTGAGAGTGTTGATGAACCGGGCGAATGTGAGGTGCCTATGCCACTGATTGCTGACAGTGGCCTAGCAGCTCAGGAAGTTGGACGGTCAAGCAGAGCTCGACGCCCTCCAAATAGACTGGTGTACTAGTGTTCCTTTATGTAAGTGTGGAGGAGTGTTGTGTATGTATAAAGCAATGTAACCGGTTCCCTTTTCTCACTTCCAGGGTGCGCTGGTCTTTGCCCTGTAAATTGTGTCTTCGCCATATTAAATTTGTTCTTTGTGTGTTGTTCCTCTGAGTGGGAGCTTCTGTTCTTTGGCGCTTCGGCGCGACACATGGTCTATTCTGCCGTTTACTATGACTGAACGCCTTTTGACCTGGAAAGAAAAGAAATTTGGCTTGGCTATTCGTCCCTTCATTTGGCCCAAATAAGCGCCCCAGTAACAAAAAGTATAGGCACATGCAAAGTATAGCAAAGTATAGTTCTTGGTTTCTCGTGATTTACTTAGGTGAGCCAATCCTTGCACATTTTTCAAGAACGCTTCTATTACCTTCGGACATCCCTGTAGTAAGTCCCAGCGCGATAAGTTATTACACCAATTTATGCGGTCACTTTAAAGTGCGTTCAATGCATTTCGCCCACGCTGAATATGGCCTTAGATCAAGGAGCGCAGTGTTGAAATCTATTGTAAATGAAGGCAATGTGCAGATACCGATCAAGAAAATTAAACTCCGTTTTTCAGTTTCTATAAACTACACTGCGCAGAGAGCTGAAACCCCGTGTATATAAAATTAGTGGTGGGGATACATTGTGAACGTTTGGGGTAATAACATTTCTAAGGTCAAAAGATATAACAAAAATAGTGGGGATGATCACGTGACGTGATGCCAGCTGGTCCCTACCATCGACGTTCTCTCTGACGGGCGCGTTTACGCCGTAGATCAGCCTCTGCTTTCTCCGGCGTATGCTTCGGCCGCCTCTCTTTTCGCGAAAGGCTTAGAGCGCAGAGCGGATATCAATATCTAGCCTACAAACTCTAATTAAGGTAGGCCCTCTGGCATCGGCGGGTGTACGCACTCGTAGCACGTGGCAAGATTTTGGATCTTGCCAGCAGGAACACTGCGCGGGCACGTGACACGCACCTTGAAAACTATCAGGTCAGTTTTCCGTGTACGACGACTGAGGAACCTCGTGGCAAGCTACCGTTGAGACACCAGGGCCGGTTTGCTAGAAAAAAGCGTCTCAACTGAGGCTGGGTGAAAGAAAGCACTGCCAAAGCCTGCGCACAAGCTAGGCGGGACTCAAACCGTGTTTCAAGGCGCTGGCGCGCCCCGTCTTTAGAGTGCCTTTTTAGAGCGCAGCTCTTAGGCGCCCGTTTCCGGCTTGAGCGGCGTTGCCGTCGGCGGAACCATGCGGTGCTTTATGAAACGCGTGACGTCACTGGTGACGTCACTGATGACGTCCTCGTAAAAACGTCATCGTCACGTGACCTCACAGGCGTCATGTGACTCTAGGGGGGTCACGTGACCATGGTGACGTCACTTGACTCTCGTGAGGCGACGGCGACGCCGCTAGGAGGGAGGACTAGCAGACAGGATGAGGAGGTGAGGAGGAGGGAGGGAGGTATACGCTCCCCTCAGTACCCTTCCCTCCTCCTCCTCAAGAGCTGCGCTCTAATTCGGCGTTACAGGGAGTTGTAAACGGCTTTCATTTTTCACCCATTTTAGCTGAGACCGTAGGGGTCGGGGGGGGGGGGGGAGGGGCCTTGAGATTCCTCTGAAATCTCCTGGGAGGAGCAGAGCCCCCTCCCCCGGAAAATGCCGGGTCCCCTCCCCCCCCCCCCCTCGTTCGGGAGCTCCTCGGGAAAACAATTACACTTGCCTCTAGGACCTAC